AAAATGCCTAATCGGCGTCTAGGCGCTCGGAGGTGCATGTTCACTTTAGTGGGCAATGCTTAGAACAACTAATAAAGGGGGAAAGTGTAGAGATTTTTCCAGAAATAGCACTGTTAAAAAAAAAATTCCAAAAATAGCACCCAACTCCGAAAAATTCCAAAAATAGCACCATTTTTGTAAAACCGCAACCCGGAGGTGCGTTTTTCGATGAAAATGCCACCCGAGGGCGCGTTTTTCGATGAAAACCGCACTGGTAGGGAGCGGTTTTGCAAACCGCACCCCCAGGGTGCGATCTGCCTTTTTTTTTTTTTTTGAAAAATCCTAATTTAGGTGGAAACTTCAAACGAACGTATCTTTATGTTCGGGTATCCGATCGTCGCGATTTTTTTTTGATTCCGCATAACTTTTTGAGATCTTGCAAGCCGAAGACTGCCAAAGGTGGTTTGGTCTCGCCTTCGTACCAAAAAATGTCGTTTGCTACCCCGAACGAGCTTTTTTCCGATTTCGTCAAACTTTGGACAACCGTAACTTTGTGCTCCAAATCCAAACGACATGATTTTTTTTTTATTTCGCATAACTTTTTAAGGACTATAATTTATGTGAAATAAAAAAAAATCATGCCGTTTGGATTTATGCGAAAACGACATGATTTTTTTTTTATTTAGCATAACTTTTTAAGGACTATTTCACATAAAAAAAATTATGTGAAATAAAAAAAAATTCATGCCGTTTGGATTTTGGAGCACAAAGTTATGGTTGTCCAAAGTTTGACGAAATCAGAAAAAAGTTCGTTCAGGGTAGCAAACGACATTTTTTGGGACGAAGGCGAGACCAAACCACCTTTGGCAGTCTTCGGCTTGCAAGATCTCAAAAAGTTATGCGGAATCAAAAAAAAATCGCGACGATCGGATACCCGAACATAAAGATACGTTCGTTTGAAGTTTCCACCTAAATTAGGATTTTTCAAAAAAAAAAAAAAAGGCAGATCGCACCCTGGGGGTGCGGTTTGCAAAACCGCTCCCTACCAGTGCGGTTTTCATCGAAAAACGCGCCCTCGGGTGGCATTTTCATCGAAAAACGCACCTCCGGGTTGCGGTTTTACAAAAATGGTGCTATTTTTGGAATTTTTCGGAGTTGGGTGCTATTTTTGGAATTTTTTTTTAAACAGTGCTATTTCTGGAAAAATCTCGAAAGTGTAGCCTTTTGTGGAAATCTCAAACCCTATTCTATTTCTCATTTCCATTCGACCAGCTGCTCCCCCTCATCTACCAGCAGCAAGATCCCTCCTCATGGTTGGGAACTTGGGATGTTTGGAATTGTGGAAAAGGGTTGTATGTCTATATGAATGGATGAATAATGATATGGCGACTTGGGTTTTTGTGGAATATGGCTTATCTATCATTTTTTTTTTCAACGTTTAATCTCGCCTAGGCAACGACTAATCGGCCAGGGCGCTGGGTGGTGCCTCCTCGCCTAGATAGCGCCTAGCGTCTTCTTGAACATTGGTTGGAATATATGTTAGACACCCCAAGTGCAACTATCCTAAACAATGTTTTTATTTCTTACTTTTTCAAACGCCTTTAATTCTTGTTTTTCCTTCGCTTCTACTTCTTGCACATAGTTTTTATTGCTTTTTATTTTATGCTCAAAGTTAGTTTTAGTAGGAATCAAAATTAGGGACTCCTCAACAGTGGCGGACCTAGAAATTTTACATCGGGGTGTCATCTTTCAAAAAAGAATAAAAATAAAAATAATAATTAAATAATTCTTAAATAAGAAAATGCACAACTCGTACAAGTTAAAAAAAGTCCATGATGTATTTTCATATTCTGAAAGAATTGTAAAATACACTTGGTGTCTACACTGCTCAACAAAGTTGTCTCGGTATATCCTACTAGACAATCATTCACAAACTTACGCATATTCAACTTCTAAATTTGTTCTTGATGTAACTCAAAGCTGAAAATACACTTTTAACACTTGTCGTACAACCATAAAATCAATACAAATTAAGGATAGCTTGTAATTAGATTAATTGTTAGGTTTTGAAAATAATTAAAGATAGAGAATAGGGTTTTGCTATTACACAATGTTTAGAATAGAACAACAAAAACGATGTAGCCTAATGGAAATTATATTTATTAATAGTAGTAGTGTTTCGGGTTTGAATTACTCAAACTACCACTTATATTCCCATACACAATTTACAAAGGAGAGTAGGATAATGGTTTTTTCAAATTTCAGGGTGTCCCGGGCTATTAATTATATTTTTTTGTCCATACGTAAATTATCACCGGTGATTGAATACTTGAATAATTGTTTTTCTAAAATTTAGAGGTGTCCCGGGACACCCCAACCCCTGGTTCCGGCCCTGCTCCTCAATCCCACTTGATTTTCTTAACCAAGTAATCAATATCAAAACAAAGATATTATCAAGAACCTTGTTGAACTCCTCTGCAAAATGTAATTTGCTAAGGGTAATGGGAGGATTCTCAATCACCACAACTGCAGCGGTAGAGAGAGGAAGCCTCTCCCATAGTCCCATTACAACAGTCAAGGTAAGTGTTGCTCCCCATCACAATCTCAATAGGAGAAACTACCTTGACTAGAGCACTTCTACTATGCTATATAGCACTGGTGCTTTAATATACAACTTGAAGTTGTACCATAACATTAAATGTATAAGTTTAGGTTGTACCATAAAAGGAATTTGTACCATTATGTTATGGTACAACTTTGTACCATCACATAAAGGTACGAGTTCAAGTTGTATGGTTGTAGTTGTACCATAAAAATATTTGTACACGAAGTATAGGTACAATATGAAGTTGTACCATAACGTTAAAGGTACAATTTCAAGTTGTACCATAAAGCAAAAAACCTATAGCACCAATACTATATAGCATTGTAAAATTCCTTCATTGACTATGGTAAGATCAACAATTGTAGGCTCTTTCTGAATCCAATCTCTCTTTCTAGGATTAGTATAGGCAATCCAATCATGACAAAAGAACATCACACTTAATGCAACAAAATGGATGTTTGCAATATTTCACATTGACCAAAAAATCACGGGAACCATTAGGAGTAAGTCAAATTTTGCCAAATCACTCGCTCCATAACTTTCGGTTTGAAAATACTAAATTCAAACCCACCCAAAAAGATTAGAAAGCTACGATTTATTTATGATTGGGTCGGGTAAGCTATACCTTTAAGTAAAACCCAAGCCTACACTAAACAATTTGTATAACTAATTAAAATCTCAAGCAAATAAACCAAAGCGCAAAACATAAAAATGCATAGAAGTTGTTTGGATCTTGATGAAGTGCAATTTGCTTCAACACATATATAGTATTTTTCATAAACATTTGCTGAAATAAGGTAGAGACATTATACATTAGCTAACACATCAATAATATGTTATTCTTATAAAAGTGTATACATATAAAAACACAATGTGAACCATAGCGTATACTAAATATGTCTAATAAGAAAAAATATCATAATTTCCTCACCAATATGGTTGTATAAGACATAAATCTGTTTTGGATACGAACATTTAAGATAATAACTGTAACATAGTTTGGGTCGGGTATCTACGAGTTGCATAACAAAAACCTGCACCCAATCTAAAGAGGTGGGTCCACAAAGGAAAACCCTCACCCTCACCCATGGTTGTCAAGCCGGTTTCATGCTGGCCGGTTCAAACCAAGTAAAAACAGTACCGGTCACCAAACCGGAATTCAATGTTACACATATTTTATCAAAAAATAAACACCTTCCTTAGGATTTGAACCAAGTAGCTCATGTTCATTTTAGTCTCACTTATACACCAGTAGGCTGCAAGCAACTTTGTTGTATATATTAACCTTATATATTACATATCTAATACTTAATTTTACACAAATCATTATAAATATTAATAAAATTCATTTTATATACTTTTATTTTTAAGCATCTAATTGTTTAGTATTAGTTACCAATTCTTAGATATAAATTATTTTGTGTGAAATAATTTTTCTAATTGCTTTTTGATGACTAATTTATTTGGAATTGAGGATTTCCATTTGTCTCATATATTTTATTAAAACCGGCACAACCGGCGTGAATACTGGTTGTACCACGGTCGGACCATTCCACTTTCAAAACCGGCACACCGGTATAAACCGGTTTGACAACCTTGCCCTCACCCAATCTTAAATATTAATTTTAGTAATAAATACGGGTGAAGTGGATCGACTTGAACGGGTGGGTTGGGCAACTGTTACTTTTTTTTACCCCAAGAAGCAACGCTTTCAAACTCCAAACTTCATCCATAAAAGAAGAAAAAAAAACTAAACTTTATAAATAATCAAAAAATGTACCGAACTAACGATTGAACCAGACTAAACCGAATCGAATGCACTATTAATCTGATCTTTAATTTTAAAATATCTTTCACTATTAAATCACTATTCTAATGAGTTTAGTCTAATCCTAAGCCAAACCCATCTATTCCACATCCCTACTCCAAATCCACCCCCCCTTCCCACAAAATTGTTCTTTTGCACTTTGCCCCCTCGAATAAGGAAAATAACAAATACGTCAGTCTTCCTCCCCACAGTTCCTATCTCTTTTCTCATCCGCCTTGTCTGCGCCTGCTTACAATTTATGCCCTGTTCACTTCCCATTTCGTTTTCTGTTTTTTGTTTAATAAATAAAAAACAAGAAACAAATAACAAAAAAACGGGTTCACTTCCAATTTCGTTTTCGTTGGAAAAAACCAATTGTTACAAATGGGAAAGCTATGGATAAACAATAAAACCTTGTTTTCTATAAACTTTGGCACGGGTTATCCCCCGTTTCCCAGCGGAAAGCGCGCATCTCTTTAATTCGAAACCCGGGTTCGAATCACCGTGGCCACATTTTTTCCCCTTTTCCGCAGTCATCAATACGGCGCCGTTTTTGCCACCTCTTTCACCCACCATAACCCTAGAGTAACGGAAGATTGGACCTGGACTCCTCAGCGCAGCCAGCCGAACTCTCCCTCTCCCATCTTCTTCCTCCGTCGGCCGCCGCCTCATCTTCTTCCTCCGCCAGGCCCGCGCCGCCACCATCTCGCCCGCCGCCATCCGCCACACCTCGCCCTCCAGCCTCTCCTCCCACTTCCTTCTATCTCTAGCTCTGCCGCCAACCGCCATACACCGCCGCCGTCATCTTCCTCTCCCTCCATCGTCTTCCTCCTGCTAGCGACCCATAAGAAGCGGAAGCAGCAGCCGAAGACGCATTGCAGCAGCACCGAAGGGAGAAAACGCATTGCAGCAGATGGAGTATTTGAAAATTATTGGTAAGAAGTTCAGCCAAAAAACTTAACAGCAGAATAAGCAAACTTTCAGAAGAAAATTTAAAAAGGGTCATTAACCATGATAACTCATGACCAAGTTGGCGCAGGAATTTGGCAAACAACAGGGTACAGTATCAGGCAAAGAGACATGAAAGCACCAGTATAATGTCTTAGGTGATACTTGACTTAATATCATCGAATAGCACCCAGGTCACCTGTTGATTGTAAATGATGTTGATTTGATTGTAAATGTTGTTGTTTTGTTTTGTTTTGTTTGATGTCAATTTGTTGGTGATCTCTTATTTTGTATTGAATTGTAGCGTGATAAGCAATGGCTGATAATGTTGTCGAAAACAATAATGATTGTGTCATACTTGAGGGAAGCGAGGTTTGGCCTGATAAAGTAGTGGAGTATTTGAAAATTATTGCACGGGGGAGAATGCCAATGGAGTGCAAGGAGGACAAGAACGAGAAGCATATAATCATAGTTCAAGCCAAACTCGAGCGATGGATGTACGACGAGATGGAATAGCAGACAAGTTGTGGGATGACTTTCAAGCTGGACTTATTTGAATTTTTATGTTGTATTAGTACTTAATTAATATAAGATGTTGTACTTATATTATGTTTATTTGTAGTTTAAAAACTATTTAATTCAAATTAAAAATTATAATCATGTCTAGGGTTGTATGATAATCAAGAATCAGAAAACAGAATGAAGCAACTAAACAGGTTTTCATTTCAGAACTCAATTTCAGCACTCACCAAAATTCTCAGCTAAACAAGGTTTTTTCAGGTTTTGTTTTCCAGGAAATGACAGCTTCGTTTTCATTTTAATTTTGTTTTCTGTTGTGGCAGCTAACAGAAATGGAATGGCAAGTAAACGGCCCATTAAGCAGTCTCGCTATTCGCTAACTTACATATATCTCTCCCTTCCCATTTTCACCCGTATATAAATACAAACATTCCTACGCTACGCTCCTCCTTTTAACCTTTTTTCTTTACCCAACGACTGGTTGTTTTATCATTTACAACACTCCAAACACAAACATAAAACCCTTCCTTTCCCCCCCTTCTTCCTTCTAGAAAATTTTCCCTCTTCTTTTCCTTAGGGTTTCGGACTCCGCTCCACTGCGAGGATTAGGTAGTGACTGGTAGTAGAGAAGAGAGTTTACTCAACACCCGGCCTTTTCTGTTTCTTTCATTTTAGGGTTTATCAGTAGTCCCAGTCATATCATCGATAAACCCCAAAATGGCGTCCCTCGCTGTGGCCGCCGAACGACTCAAGGATTTGTCCCAGCCTATTGATGTCTCCTTGCTCGATGCCACCGTCGGTGCTTTCTACGGCACTGGATCTAAAGACGAGGTACCTCCACTCTCTTGTTCACCTTTTCCTTTCTTGTTATTTGTCTTCCCTGTTTTTGAGAATGGGGAGCGGGAATCCAACTGTTGATTGTTGGAGCTTGCGGTGCTCGTTTTGGCGGGAGTTGAGTTTGGTTGGCGGCGGAGTAGAGCTGTGTTTAGTGGTCTGCTGGCACTGTTCGCTTGAGAGGTTGGTTCTGGTCAGGGTTTGGTTAGTTTGTTGCGAGCTAAGTGGTAGAAATGAGGCATGTCTACTCTCTTCAGTTATGCGATGCCTGAAATAGGATGGCTGCCGGCAGCTTATCATAGGTTTGGTTTTCCGTGCGTTCCGGTTTGCTGGGTATGGCTGGCATTGTTGCGAAAGTGTTGCAAGTTGAATCTTTTGCTTCGAGGGAGGGTACGTTGAAGAGGTACAGGTGTTGTTAGCTTGCTCTGATTTTGCTGCTTGACCTTGACTATGGGGACGAACTTATGCTCCTTTCCTGTTTGGCTTGTAGTTTCGGTCATGTGACATCACTTTCTCCTGTAATTTGGTGTTATCGGACTACTTCTTTTCCGTCTGACTACATGCCTTTTAAGTAGATTCGTCAGCCTAACGCTTTTGCTGTCCTCCCCTTCCTGCTTGTCTTTTCTGCTTGCCTCCTGTGACGGTAGAGGGCAGCAGCAGATAGGATTTTGCAGGACTTGCAAGGTAATCCAGATATGTGGCTCCAAGTGGTGCACATTTTGCAGAACACAAAGAATCTGAATACCAAATTCTTTGCCTTGCAGGTGAGTTTTGTTTTAGCTTTTGTTATTATTGTCATATATTATATTATGCAGAATGGTGTTTAGAGATATTGGCCCTGTTTGCTACTTTAAATGCAGTTTTTGGTCCCCAATTTGATGAAAATTTCTGGATCATGTCATTTTGTCATGGACGCTTGTTAAGGGAAATTCTGGGTTTTTCATTTTCTTTTGCCTTTGGCTTTACTGATATAGTAGTTCTGTTCCTTAACTTTCAGTTCTAGGGTTATTGGATCCATAAGAACAAAGTTTTTACAGGATGCAACATAAAACGTCTATCAGCGTCCTCATCAGTCATCTGTACATGTATGTAGACATATTTTAGCTCTGTGGTCTGTTTAGGTAGCTGATCTTGTTACTGCTCTCATTCTTGTGCTCATTTCTACTGCTATGCCCAATTTGGTATGAGATATATCTATCAGATGTATGGCCATTGATGGCACCGGTGTGAAATGCGGCTATCAGCTCCTATCGTTCTGGGCTTTGGTAATTTCAGTTGGAAACGTTTTTTTTTTCCTGAGATGTAACCAAATAGAGCTTGACATATTGGGTTTAGATTATTTGTGAACCACCTGGGGCTGTTTAATTATTGAATAAGGAGAAGTAGGTTTATATGTTATTAAATTAATTGGAGCTTGTTGAGGGGGTGTAATGAGCTGTCGTCTTCTTCTGCTAGTTATTTCCCTTGATGAATGCAGTGAAAAGCTATGCTATGTCATATTAAACTAATCTCTTGCAAAACCAATGCCGAAATGTCCATTTGTTTTTATTTTTTCATGAGTGAAGCTTTTTGAGTTGGAAACTGTTTGTTCAACTCTCTCCAGGTTTTAGAGGGTGTTATAAAATACAGATGGAATGCATTGCCAGGAGAGCAACGAGACGGGATGAAGAACTACATATCTGAAGTCATCGTGCAGGTAAGGCCTTGAATTTGGAGAATATCTATTGATTTTTATTTTCACAAGCAGAGCTGATCTTACCTAGCTTTTAATTTTATATTATATTCTTTCAACATTTTGTCTTAGCTTTCAAGTAACGAGAATTCTTTTCGTCAAGAAAGGCTGTACGTGAACAAGCTCAATGTCATTTTAGTCCAGGTTCGTCTGCATTGCTGTAGTTTGCTCATCTTTTGGACATTTTGGTATGCATAACTTGGTTTGATCTTGTTATTGGTGTACTGGTGTGCATGATTACAATGCTTGCTGATTGAAGGAAAATATTAACTTGTTTTATAACTTTTCTAGAAGTTCCTATGTTTTGAGATACCGATGTTGCTTTAATATCCTTTTAACAATGACCTGTGTGCAGATTTTGAAGCATGAATGGCCATCTAGGTGGCGTAGTTTTATTCCTGATCTTGTAGCTGCTGCAAAAACCAGTGAAACTATCTGTGAGAACTGCATGGCTATTTTGAAAGTGAGTCTACTTGTCCTTTTGTTCTGCTGTCTTCTTTATTGAACATGTTGGTGGTGTTTGGTATTGACGAAAATTTCCTATCAGCTTCTGAGTGAAGAAGTTTTTGATTTCTCTCGAGGGGAGATGACCCAGCAAAAGATAAAGGAACTTAAACAATCCTTGAACAGGTAACTTTCGGGGACTGTAGTAACTTGTATATTTATATTGTTATTAGCAGACTTATATGAAGATTGTATCATGTCTTGGATTTGTTGTTGTTCTGTTGGTGTATCTTATGTATTGCTCTGCTTATTTTAACTCTCCGGCTTACTGTTCTCGACCGTAGGTTACTCTATATATCTATATTGATGTGTATAGTGAACACTGTAAGGTGCTATATCTGGAATTAGTTTTACCCAAAATTTGTTTTTGGTAATTTGCAGCGAGTTTCAACTCATCCATGAGTTATGCTTATATGTACTGTCGGCATCTCAAAGAACAGAGCTCATTCGAGCAACACTGTCCACATTACATGCTTTTCTTTCTTGGATCCCTTTGGGCTACATCTTTGAATCCCCGTTGGTATGTTAACTTTATCATGCTTCATCTTTTATGTGGCTTAATATTGAACTTGTTTTTTTGTCTTCCTTTACAGTGATGCCTTGTTTTCAAAAATGTATTGACTCGTTACCCTTCTGTTTAATCCAGTTGGAAACACTTCTGAAGTATTTCCCAATGCCATCGTATAGAAATCTAGCCCTTCAGTGTCTGACCGAGGTTTGTTGAAGCTTAATGAACGATTATGCTTTCTTATTATTTAGCTGGTTGATGCTGATAAAGATATGGTGTGTTCAGGTTGCTGCTCTTAGTTTTGGCGACTTTTATGATTTGCAGTACATCAAGATGTACAACTTTTTCATGGTCCAGTTGCAGGTTTGTCAAACATTGTTTACTTGGAATTAACACACATCTTTGTGTTTTTGCTATGATTTGATGGGTTTTGCTGTCTAAATTTTCCTGAGTTCATATTCAATGTAGCTGGCTGGTTCTTGTTTATTCTTTTGTTTATTTTAATTATCAACCTGTCAACCTGTAGGTCATACTCCCACCCACCACAAATATTCCAGATGCATATACTAATGGATCTAGTGAGGAGCAGGTTGGTGTTTGCACTACTCTATGTGTCTTCCCTCGTCGTAAATTCCATGTGCTTGGCTGATGTCTGTGCTCCATTACTGTCCAGGCCTTTATTCAGAATTTGGCGCTCTTTTTTACCTCCTTTTACAAGGCAAGCCTCCTCTCTAGATCCTCTTTACACATTGCTGATGATGCCCTATCAAATGTTTGGAGAGGATGTGTATAATTACTTTTGTTACATTGCAGAGGATAATTTTATTATTGTGTGAACTGGTTGCTTAGTTAGTGTCGTTTGATGTATTTGAAACAATCTGTACTTTTATTCAATTATCTGGGAAGCCCGAGTGCCTTGATAATTGTGATGGATATAGTATGTCTTGAGCACATAATGCAGGGGCTTCTTTTAAGCAGTCGGTTATTTTGTGTTGTATCTACTGCTAACTAACTCTGCTATGCAGGCTCATATTCGGATATTGGAGTCTAGTCAGGAAAATATATCTGCTCTTCTGATGGGTCTGGAATATCTCATTCAAATTTCATATGTTGATGACACTGAAGTTTTCAAGGTTCTTGCTCTCCACCGCAGTAATTTGCTCTCCACATTGTAGATGCACAAAGTTACTATGTGCAAACAACCTTGGTTATGCTGGTGATTGCCTTTGCTTTTGTATGGTTACCAGGTTTGCTTGGATTATTGGAACTCCTTGGTGTTGGAGCTCTTTGAGGCCCATCATAATCTGGACAATCCTGCAGCAACTGCAAACATGATGGGGCTGCAGGTATGGAGTTCTTTCCTCTTTCTAGAGATGTAAGCAGTTGTTTGCATTCTTTGTTAGCATCTTGGTGCTGTATTTTCTGCTCTGGTACTTGACTAGTGACTTACAATATGTGTTGTACATCTTCCTTCCTGTATCTGCTAGGTAGCACCATTATACAAAAAAAAAAAAAAAAAAATGATAAACCAGTGCTGGCTGCCACCTTTGGCCATAATAATTTTACATCTGTTCTATTTTAACTATCTGCACTTAATCCTCTGGACGCCTATTGTGTGATAGATCTCTTAAACGGATGGGTATGGCTAGATGTTAGATTTGGAGAGCGAAAATGAACAGGTAGTACTGTTGTGATGTTTGGATTGATGTTTTTGACTTGTGATTTGTTCATACCTACACTAATGATATAAAATTGTCCTCATTCAATTGAGTTTTTTACTCCCTCTGTCAATGAGGAAGCTTAGGATCTCAAATTAGCAGCTCTAATTTGGTAAAATGTCCCTTGCCCATCTATCCTCCTGGAGGAGGTTCCAAAAGGAATCACTGCAGGATGTTATTCTACAATTCACTGATCTTTCGGTCATCCAAACAAGACATTCTGGAAAAAACTGTAACCCTATGGGCTGGCTTGATTTTGTTGCCTTGATCCCTCATTTTAGGCAGCCTCTCACCAATCATAATGGGTTTTAAATTTCTGAATCTTACTTGGAAAGATGTTAACGATCTAACTAGTGAGCATCATGACATATATCTAACTGCTAAAGAGCACTGGTGGAATTTGAGTGCATTATTTTGCCATATGTAAAGTTCTCTTCTGTTTATGTTGCCTAACTCAGGAAGGCTAAAGCTCCCATGTTGACTGTTTTTACTATGAATATCAGGTGCCCTTGCTTCATGGCCTAGTCGATGGCATAGGTTCTCAAATAATGCAGCGGAGGCAGCTTTATGCTGGTACAATGTCGAAGTTGCGTATGCTTATGATCTGTCGTATGGCTAAACCTGAAGAGGTTCTCATAGTGGAAGATGAAAATGGAAATATTGTTCGTGAAACCATGAAAGATAATGATGTGCTTGTTCAATACAAGGTAACCAATTGGAACTTCAATTGTTTCTTCCCTGGTTCCTGCCAATAAGCACGTTCTACCTTTAACTATTTGGCTTATTCTGCGGCTAATGTCACATGATGCCATGTTTAGATCTTTAGATGATATCTGATAAATTGAGTGATGCAGATCATGCGGGAAACATTGATCTACTTGTCGCATCTTGATCATGACGACACAGAAAAGCAGGTACTGGATCATGTCCTCTTTTTTGGGAATCGTCCACCTGTAAATGTGAATGTGATAGCTGCCCATTTTCCCATAGTTAGAAGCTATTCCTTTGATTATTTCCCTCTAGGGATATCATTTGTTTCCTGACAAGTTTACTACGATTTAAGTGTCACAGCAAAAGCAATATGGATTTTTTTTGTGCTCGTCTGAGTTATGCTCTCTACTAATATGCTGTAAAACCTTTTCTCTGGGTTATCTATATGATCTTTTATGTCCCTGACTGTAGATGTTGAAAAAGTTGAGCAAACAATTAACTGGCGAGGATTGGAGCTGGAATAACTTGAACACACTATGCTGGGCGATAGGCTCCATCTCTGGTTCCATGATGGAAGAACAGGTAGACAATCATGAAAACCTTTCTCATCTGGTTGTTTCCCTGTATGCTTGTGTATATTATTTTTACTGTAGGGCTAGCCAGTGATCTTCAGGTCGCAGTTATGCACCAGTTGTTTTTTAGTGGTCCAGTGTGAGGATGGAGTTGATCTGTGCTATGGACAATACTTGGAAGGACAGTGTACTATTCTAAGGATAAGGATAGCATATCATATGACATTGTGGGTCGATGAAGACATTTGTGGACATTATCTTAAGACAATTGTGTACAAATGGTTTTTCCACATAATAATGGGTTTCCATAGTACCATAATTGGGGAAGATATACCAAGCTATCTCACATAATTTGTCGCGGCATAGTATTTCTGTGTATTTAGTAAGTGAACTCAAGTATAGATAGCTCGTGTTCTCCCACCAAGTGCAATCTCGTTTCTGCTATGAGATTGTTAAATATGCTAATGGAATGATGCTAAACTTTGATTCAGCAACATGAGCTGTAATAGGTTGTTTCCTTTTCTTTAACTTTTTTGTGCTTTTATGAGTTCCTATTTACATTCTTATTACTAATCTGATCTCTGTTACTTGTTTGTTTATGCTCATATTCTTCCAGTTTGTCTCATGGTATATGATGGACTCCTCAACATTTGGTTTTTTTGGCAGGAAAATAGATTTCTGGTTATGGTCATCCGTGACTTATTGAATCTGTGCGAAATCACAAAAGGAAAAGACAACAAAGCTGTTATTGCAAGCAACATCATGTGAGATTCCATATTTATCTTGTTTCCAGGCTTTGGTGGATATTTATGATTAGAGTATATGATGGCCCTGTTCAGGTGTGATGTTTGCTGATAAATCTGGGTAGGTTCTGTAGTGGACACTATTGAAAGCAGTTTTATTGTTGCTCAACTTATTCTGTTGCAAAATATTTTTTGGCAGGTACGTTGTTGGACAGTATCCACGATTTCTTAGAGCTCATTGGAAGTTTCTGAAAACTGTTGTCAATAAACTTTTTGAGTTCATGCATGAGACTCACCCTGGAGTTCAGGTTGCTCATTTCGTCTTTTTTATGCACTCTGTTATACTGTCCTTTCATGTGTCTAGGTATTGTTTTGCCTCAAGTATTGCCTCAGCAGCTCATAAAGTAATGCCAGCTATCATGCCTTAAATTTCCAGGATATGGCTTGTGACACCTTCCTGAAAATTGTCCAGAAATGCAAGCGGAAGTTTGTTATCGTACAGGTTAGTAGATTTTTGTGGTCAAGTATGATAGCAGTCTATTGCTCGTATACATGGTATTTTAGGGATAGGCATGCCCAATAATAAACTACACCTTTGTTCTCAGGTTGGAGAAAGTGAACCCTTTGTATCTGAGCTTTTGTCTGGCCTTGCAACCACTGTTGGTGATCTTGAGCCTCATCAAATTCATACATTCTATGAATCTGTAAGTGATGGTTAGTTGTATGAGTTGAGTTGGTTCCTGAGTATTTTATCTATGTTTTTGACACTTGACTTCCTTTCTGTTAGGTTGCACAAATGATTCATGCAGAACCCGATCCACAGAAGAGAGATGAATATTTGCAGAGGCTCATGAATCTGCCAAACGAGGTTAGTTTTAAGATAAATGCTGGACCAAGGGATTGGTTCTGTAAGGCTTTTGGTTTGGGTACCTAGTCCATAGGGATCAATTTTGTTTTAATTGGATGAAAACTAGAAGAGGGCATTGTTTGCATTTACTTCTATTAGACGACATTAGACTGCAGTCTATTTCCCGACTTGCTCACCAATACCATCCTCATCCATCTACCCTTGGTGTGTTATGGTTGCTTCGAATAATGTCCTTTGGTTTGCAGAAATGGGCTGAGATTATAGCATCGGCTCGTCAGAGTGTTGAGTTTCTGAAAGATCAAGATGTGATTCGAACAGTGCTTAATATACTGCAGGTATACTCGGTAGTACTACCCTTGGATTTCTGATTATGTGCTCTACAATGATGTCACGGTCATAGTTCTTCTGATGCTAAGTCTGATTGATTTCTTGAAATTTTAATCATGCAACCCTTGTTAGTTGAAACCTAGAGAGTTTTACACTCTTCAGTTCAGTTCTAGTAGTTCCAACTTCTTATAACTTATTATAAAGAAACATTACAAGTCATGCTAAGCTAGTGAGTTGTACTATTATTTTGCAGACAAATACCAGTGTTGCAACTTCTCTTGGAACTTACTTCTTACCCCAAATATCTCTGATCTTTTTGGACATGCTTAATGTGTACAGGTATGTCACTTAAAAGCAATCTTTTTGGTGTGTTCAGATTGATTGCCAGATTGGGTAGTATAATTGTGTTACTTTTTCTTGATCCTAATGATTAGAAGATGTGTGGATTCCCTCCTACAGAATGTATAGCGAGCTTATATCAAGTACCATTGCAAATGGTGGACCTTTTGCATCACGAACATCCTATGTAAAACTATTAAGGTGAGGCTATTAAATGATATATGTCGTATAGGTAGAGGTGAATCCCTTGGTTTCTTATGCGCTAAGTTCGCAGGTCCGTTAAGAGGGAGACACTTAAGCTCATTGAGACGTTTTTGGACAAGGCTGAGGATCAGCCTCAGATTGGGAAGCAATTTGTGCCCCCGATGATGGATCCTGTTCTTGGAGACTATGCTAGAAATTTGCCTGACGCTAGAGAATCTGAAGTTCTCTCACTTTTTGCGACAATTATAAACAAGTATGTATTCCGAACAATTTTTCAGTACCATCTTAAGGTTGATGATAGATGAAATATGGTGATGTTTTGCAATAAAGATGAAGGAACATGTGATACTGCGAGATCCAAGATTTCCAATATTCTATACATCATTTTTGTTCTCTTAGCCTCACTGGCAATGGTTCAATTGCAGGCAAAATTAGAGATGCTTCATTTAATCTCATGCAAGTTCATGAAAACAAAAATTAACAAGCTTTTTGATTGGTAAACATTCATTTTTTTCTTAATTTCCTTGTGTTTTTGTTCTGAAGGTATAAGGCTACGATGATAGATGATGTTCCTCGCATTTTTGAAGCCGTCTTTCAGTGTACTTTGGAGGTGAGATTTGAGGTTGTATTTGTTTGTTACGTTTTCTTTGCTTCAAGTGTCCTTGGAAGTTCTTAGGTTTCTCTCTGATCAAATGGATGAAATTTGATAGGATACTTACAAATATAAAATTTTCCCGCCAATAATGCTTTTGCATTCTCCTATACCTGAGTTGATGACTGGCCTTCAAACACTGCAGATGATTACCAAAAATTTTGAAGATTACCCGGAGCATCGCCTCAAGTTCTTTTCACTACTTCGGGCAATTGCAACCCACTGTTTTCCTGCTTTGATTCATTTGTCCAGTCCGGTAGGTTGATTTGTTGATACGTTCGAGGCAGAACATCAATTCTCTCTATTGACTTCACTTAGTCTCTTTTGGAATGGATTCTTTATGCGTGATTTTATTCCATTATGGTTTCTTCATACGCCAAATAATCCATCTTTGCCTCTTTGTATTTTTCCTGTTCTCCAGCAACTGAAGCTAGTGATGGATTCAATTATATGGGCTTTCCGGCATACAGAGAGGAATATAGCTGAGACAGGGTTGAACTTGTTATTAGAGATGCTGAAGAACTTCCAGGTTTGTGCTTATTGTTATATAAAATGTATTTCCAGCCTTGGTGTATTTCGTCTTCCTGTGGATTCCATATTGGAAACTAACATTTCAGGGATGGCATGGCAGGCGTCTGAGTTTTGTAATCAGTTCTACCAGACCTACTTTGTGACGATTGAGCAGGAGATATTTGCTGTGCTGACGGACACATTCCACAAACCTGGCTTTAAGTTGCATGTCTTGGTGCTACAGCACTTGTTCTGCCTGGTACTTTTCTGCCTATATGGTTCTGCTGTGTATATATTTGTGAGTGACTATAATGGTGTGGAAGGATTCCTTCCCTTCATGCCTACACTGGTTTGGTTGGTGACGGAGATGAAGTTTGGTCAGGTTGAGAGTGGGGCGCTGACAGAGCCTTTGTGGGATGCTGCAACTGTTCCCTATCCTTATCCTAATAACTCAATGTTTGTTCGAGAGTATACAATCAAGCTATTGGGGACTTCGTTCCCCAACATGACTGTAGCAGAGGTAGAAACTTCTGGCAATATGTTTTTTCGATCTCTTGCTGTCGTGACAATTTTTCCCCATTTCGTATGGAAATGTTTAATGTGAATCTACATCTGACGAAGTTGCTGGTTTCAGGTTGGTCAATTTGTGAATGGGCTATTTGAATCGAGGAATGAGTTATCAGGATTCAAAGATCGCATTAGAGATTTCCTTGTGCAATCAAAAGAATTTTCAGCTCAGGTATTGCTGTCTGATGCACAATTCCATGTCTCTATATCACACTGTAGAGCTAGAGTTAATGGGGTTGGGGAAGCATTCACAGGAATCAGTTTGTAATGATGATGTCTTCGATTGATCCTATGTTTTAAAGGTGGCTTATTGTGTAATGCTTTCTTCTGATGGGTTGGTTTTGTGCAGGACAATAAGGATCTTTATGCTGAAGAGGCTGCTGCTCAGAGGGAGAGAGAGAGACAGCGAATGCTTTCTATTCCGGGGCTTATTGCCCCAAACGAGATACAAGACGAGATGTTGGATTCATAGAAGCCTCTTTCCCTCGACAGAGCAGCATAGTTTTTGGTGGGTTTTAACTTTGGAGAGCGGGTCAGTGTGGGGGCGTATTGATTCCAGTTTCTTAAGGAGTAAATGAATGTTGAATCAGATATACCGCATTCATTCGTTCCCTGGCTAGATCTCCCCCTGAAGTTATAAATTAGTAATGAACGAGCATGGGCAGCGAAGATTTGGGCGGAAGAGTGACATTGGTTCCAAGGGATGTTGCTATATTAGTTGGCTTTTGGGTTGTAGAGTTTGTAGCTTGCTGATTTAGGGAAAGAAGATGGTATTGATTTATACTTGAGGGATCATTGTGTACGGGTTTTGTAGGGTGGGGATCCGGCTTCGTACCTGTATAATTAGAACATTATGATCTTCAGCAGCTGGGGATCTAGCTGTTCAAAAGCTGGCTCAGTTTTTTTTTTTGTTTGTTTTCCATCCCTTTTTCTGATCTCCCTATTTAGGTGTGATGGCTAGATATGGAAACACTAACAATTGGTGTGTTGTGCGGAAATATATAGGGTTTTCAGCACAGCATCCTCCCTTGATTATGTTCTCCCCTGACTCCTCCAGGATATGTACACCCTTATTGAGTTGATATATGTTCTACATTTATTTAACGACTGTTGGAGCTGGGTCTTCCTTTGATCACCTTGTTTTGTAACTGTTCGCTTGTTGATAATTCTGGCAGGCCTTGCAACAGATTTTTCCTTTGCTGAAGAAGAGTTCGTGTTCTTAGGAGAAATGGAGTATACTGACGATTCATCTCCAAAAACTGTTGGCTAGATTTTGAGATTTTTGGAACTGGATCAGTCTCTTGAAGTACAGTTTGCTCTTTAGATGAAGCCATTCGATGTCGCAACCAATGCTTTAAATCGTCTCCTAACATCCCAGTCTACGTCATTCCGACCAACATATACATTGCTCGAGCTGACAAATTCTTATATGTTTCATTATATTTAGGGTAAATACAATATATTATCCATAACTATTAAATAGCGGGAAATTATAGCCACAACTATTAAAATACAAATTATTATCCAAACGTTAAGTCTCTGTTAGGAATTCTGTTAGTAACGCTGACTAATCTTTTAGGATGCTGAGCTGGCTTCTACGTGGCAGTCAGTATATCATATTTTAAATTTAAATTTAAAAAATAAATAATTAAAAAATGAAAGAAAAAAAAAAAATCTTCTTCGACCCTCCATCTCACCCTGCCGTCGCCTCTCTGCCTCTGTCACCGCCGGCCCTCCATCTCACCACCTTCGCTTCCCTCTCCGTCTCTATCACAGCCTCTGCAGCCGATGCTTGGCTCCAACCCCTACCCAAATAGGAGCAGTTCAAGCTACTGTCTCCTCCACTCTCAAAAGAGAGAAGAAACTACGGTGCTCTTCGCCTTCCTCACAACTTAAAAACCCAACAGATCTGAAATCTGGAGATCTCCGGCGAACTCGGTCACAATTGGAGATTAGAGATGGAGGTCACGATTTTCCCTTTTCTTCCTTCCCTCTCGTCGTCGTCGATTGGAAACCCCACAAAAATTACAGCTGACCTAACCTCCGCCCTAATTCCATATCTGCCTTATCAAATGTGTGAGGCGAGAGGGATTTTCAGACTATAACCCCACTTCCCAGGTCCGATGACGATCAAGGGGAGGAAGGAGATGGAGGATGCGGTGGCGGTGGCGGTGGCGGTGGAGTCGGGGTTCACCGTGGGGGAGTACAATTTCTTCTGGGTGTACGATGGGCACGACGAGGCGGGCGTGGCGGAGGCGTGCAAGGAGCGGCTGCACGAGCTGCTGGCTGAGGAGATTGGTGTCGCGGCGGCGACGGGTGGGGGTGGGGCCAGGTGGGGAGGAGTGATGGGGAGGTGTTTCGAGAAGATGGACGGGATGGTGGAAAAAATGGTCGGATGGTGGGGTCGACTGCGGTGGTGGCCTTGGTCGGGAAGGAGGAGGTGGTGGTGGCCGATTCCAGCTTCCATCATCTTTCTCGTTTGTGACTGAGAAGAAGAAGAGAATGAAAATAGGGAGACAGGGGACTGGAGGGCGGAGGAAGGGAATGAAAAGAGAAGAGAGGGTTTCCAATTTTACTTTTTTAAATTCTTTTATAATTAAAAAATAAAAAAATTATATATTTAATAATTTGCTGATGTGGACACCAATATGGAGGCTGATGTGGCAGTTTCCGTTAAAAAATTAATGACGGTAACGAACTGTTAGCCATTTCTTGACTTGCAACATTAGTTATGACTAATAATTTGTATTTTGATAGTTGTGGCTATAATTTCCCACTTTTTAATAGTTATGGATAATATATTGTATTTACCCTTATATTTAGTTTCTAGACAAGTTTTAGGTACCAGAATAGGCTGTATGTAATGTAATGTAAGAAAGCAAGATATGTTTATTAATACTATCTGCCGGGTATCCTCAGAAGATAATTCTTCTAGCTCGTACAAGTACAACTACGAGATGACTAATCAATCTAGGGCGTAGCAGAAATCATTCATGGAGCTTCCCTAGGGCTTAGTAGCCTTCTCAGCCTTCTCCTTAAGAAGTGGAACATTGTTGCTCATTCTCTTCCCCTCATCATGCCTCAGAACCCTGTCCAAACAGCTCACCAAACCATCCTTGGAAAACACTCCACCTTCCAAGTTAACACCCATCTCCCACATATCTTCAGCATCCTCACGTTAAGCCTCTGATCCCCAAAGAACGGCCTACAGATCATCAAGACCTGCAGCTGTGGAGCCCCAAGGCAGCAGCACCATCCCCTTTCCTCTCCACAAACCCTGCGGACAAATGTACCTTGGCATGGTCCTTGAGCGACCATAGGAAGGGCAGGGCACTTGCATGTGTTGCCTCTAGAGCCTCTGCCACCACTGATGAGGGCGCGAGGTTTTGGTCGATGTTAAAAAAGTTGATGAAGCGAGAAGCTAGGACGGTGGTGATGGTGGGATCGAGGTTGTGAGTAACAAGTTTTTAAGTTTTAAAGCGCGATTTTGACTGCCTTTGGTCTCCTCTGCTTCTTCTGCACATTGCAGGAAACTAGTGGTTAGTTAGTAAAACAAGAACCAAGTTAAATGAAGGTAAGCAAGGATCCTAGATGGGTGGGCTTCATTCTGTACTACAAAGAAATTTGTGAAAAAAATTATAGGTACAAACAGTGGCATAGCCAGACTTCAAGTTAATTGGAGTCCTAAAAATTTGTAATGCTAAAATCTATGCTTTGAATAGAGTTTGAGTTGATTGGGGTTCTTAAAGATAGCTAAAATTAATAAGAGTATGGGGTCCTAAGTTCGAAGAATCGGCTAAAACCTGCGTATCTAATGAAATTTTTGCCTAATTTTTCTGTCAAGTGGGGTCCTTGGACCCCACTACTCAACACTTGCCTCCGCCATTGGATACAAACTGAATTCGTATCATAACGTTAAATACGGAATCGGTATTATAACATTAAATATAGAAATTCAGCTTTCCCCCCTCTTCCGAAGAATGTCAAGACAACGGTTATAAAATACCACTACCCACAATCCCTCCATCCCATTAACAAGCTGCACTACAAAATTAAAACAAGCTAGTTCTAACCGAGAGCTTTACAATAACTAGTGAGGGGTCCTATTTGTGAAAAAACTAAACTGATTTCGGTTGACTTGTTACAATAACTAGTGACATATTTTTTATATTTTAACATTTTGTAAAATATATCATCACAACAACTATCAAACAGATAATGTTGAATGTATTTCACCTAAAATCATTGATTTCATAACTCAGTACGATTTGAAAGAGCATTTCTCATGCAACGCATTGCGGAAAGAAGTTTTTCAACACTAATGATATATACTTTGGAATGTCATATAAATTATAAAATACATAATATATAAGTAGGGCGACGTCTTTGGTGCACCCAATTTTTTGGGTGCATTTAATGCAGTCACCTCATAATCGTCATTCCAAGCATGTGATTCATGTAAAAATACTGTCAATCATCACTTGTGGTCTGATGAACAAGAAGCACATGAATTTGTAAAAAAATCATTAAAGATTTACTGTAATTTGAATGATTTAGGGTTTATGGATTTAGGGTTAGAGTTTAGGTTTACAGTTTGAGGGGTTGGGTTGGGAATTCAAAATTGAAGGTTAAGGGGTTAGGGTAATGGACTCATTATTTGTGATTCTATGTTATATCATCATATTAGACTAATAATACCAATTAGATTTCAAAATGTGATGTATTATGGTCACTTTACGAAAAAAAGTGAGTGCACCGAAGTACACCATATAAGTAGATATTGATAATAAGCAATTTATACACCATATTTATTGTGTTCAACTCCAAAACAAGGGGGTGTCATGGACTCGCTTGTTACATGCTAGCTATGCTCATGTGTGCCACTCTATCAACAACCCAGTTGGTAATCCGTGGCACCGTCCTAAAATCTATACAACGAAAAAAAGACAAAAAAAGGCGACAATCTCGAAGGCTTGGGCCTCCAATGGAATCCTCCACCACACTATAGTTGAACTGATGGATGACCACTTCTGCATCGCCTCCGAGGATAGCACAAGACAAACTTCTAGAAGCTGTAAAGGAGACTGCATCTCTACTGCAAGGAGTTCTGCGAGATACGAGTCAGAGATCCATTTATGCTGAACACCCAAGGCTAGAAGCACATGCACGTCCGGGCCACAAACAACAAGGCCGGAAGAGCAGCCAGAAACTGGGACAACAACATCGAAGTTGATCTTTAAAGGCTTGAGGAGGGCATTCCTAGAGAGGACTAGCATTGTAACAACAATCAGAAATTGAGTTTATATTAAATGTATTTTTTTAAGTGAAAGCACCTTTACTGATTAGCATGGTAACATGGATCTCAGATTAATATGCTTGTACATCTTAAATGATAATCTCCAAATGGATATTTCATATATGAGCGATGAAATATCTTATACGTAGCAGACTCGAAAGGGCAAAGAGGAGCAGATAATTATCAAAATCGATCTAGTCAAGGCATATAACAGGCTCGATTGGGGGTTGTTGCTGCTACTCTTGAGCAAGCCGGCCTCCCATAGAAGTTTATCAAAGCGGTAATAAATTGCATTACCACACCCTCTTTTGAAGTGCTCTGGCATGGCGCATGTACAAAAGCCTTCCAGTCGACCTGAAATCTTTTAGCGTCTAATCCACTTGATACAAGAAGCTGTAGCAGATAGAAGATGTAAACCAGTGCAAATCATTCGTGCCAATTGGAGCTAACCCACCTCCTTTTTGCACACGATCTTTTTCTTTTTATAGGAGGCTAGTAAGGAGCAAGCAGAAGTTATAGTTGAGTGTCTTTTTCAATTATGCAAGGCCTCAGGAGAGCTAGTTAGTAATGAGAAATCTCATGTGTTCTTATCAAAGAATGCCAAGGGGGAGCTCGACCGCAGAATTGGTGACTGCTTGCACATCCTGATAACTCAGTACTTGGTTCGCTATTTGGTGTTCTAGTTCTCCATGGTCGTTTGACAAAGCAGACGTACCAGAACATCATTGATAAAATCGATCAGCGTTCGGCAGGATGGAAAGCGAATAAAATCTCACTCGCTGGAAGGGTTACCCTTGCTTTATCTTTTTTGAACGCTCTTCCTACCTATGTTATGCAAAATGCTACTTTGCATGCAGCCACAATGTGAGCGGTACCACCCACCCTATCGTACCACCTATAGGCGGTTGTCCGTCCTACAGCCGCCCGAAAAAGAACTGCAGTGATCTTGAATAGGAATCCTACAGCGATAAATAGAATCCCCATAAAAATACCACTAGATTGAGCACTAGTGATTTCGTATCCAGTCAAAATCTTGGCTAATTGATCGAAGTGGGTAGCTCTAGTAGACCTATTGATCATGGAATAAATAGGGCGGGTAAGACAAGGGCGAAGAAGAGGCGGGAATCGACCGTGTCACCTCACCATCGGGTGGGCATTTCATTGGCGGATCTGGGCGCGCCAACGAACGAGACACTGGAGGAGCAGGCGACGAAGGTGGAAGAACCAATGACAGCGAATTCGTCGGGGTTCGTTGCCAACGAATTCGCTGGGGTTCATCACACACGTGATGCCGGGACCTATACCGAAGCTTGGTCTAGATAGGGACGTCGAGGCTTCGAGCATATATTTGAAGACCTCAAGCTGGAGCACAAGAAAGAACAGTTCTCTTACTCTTATTTCGTGAACTTCGAAAAAGAAGAGGAAAAATTGTTCAGCTATGGTGAACGTGACATGTGTCACGTGATACGAGAAGAGTTGAAGAAAGTTGGAGTTGTCAAAGAATAAGTCCGTCATGAGCAGGAGCGCAACTGGAAACGAAGAAAGCAGAGGGTAAAGAAAGAGAAAGGCGACTGCAACCTTGAGGGCAAAGTGGCTTTCAAGAGGGGTGATTTGTTAGAATCCCGTCCATTATGAGTTACTCTAATTATTTTTTAGTAGGATAATTATTCTTATGGTTAGTAGAGATTTAGTCGAGTTAGATTTATTATAATGGGTTTCCAGTATTTTCCTATAAATATGTAATTTGGGTTTCAGTATCAATCAATGAAGGAAAATATTAAGAAAAGTTTCTATCCCTAATCTCTCCCAAATCCTCTCAAATCTCGTACTCTCTTTCCCTAAAGGTTGCCTGCCATCTATCCCAGTTCTGTTCTTTAATCCATAATTCCCAATTCTCATATCTAAATTCCTAATTTCTATCCCTGATCCCTAAATCTCTATCGTTATGAGAGTAAGACCTTAGCTTCTTCCCCAGTTATTTATTGCCCATGAGTAAGAGTTTGTATCCTCCTTTTTACCTACAAATGAGGGTTCATTATATAATAGACTCTCTCATCTTGAGGAGTAAGGTCATCATGTGTGGCTAGCGGGTGTTAAAACATGATTTTGTTTGCTTGACATGATGTAATTTATACTTGCTTAACATAATCTTCCACCAACTGGGAAGACATAAGACAACTTATCAAAACGAAACTTGCATTTCCTTGTGTTAAAACTTAACTTTTTAGAAGTAATTCAATGTTATGCTTACCGAAATTTAGGAACTAACTTGACGTAAACGGTTGTATGTGTATAACTTAACATAAATATAATGAATGGTCATAGTATTTTAATTTAATGGCATAATTAAAATATTCAATCTTAAATTAATTGAACCACATAATTAAATAAATTTGATGAATTACTAACTAGCTCCCTCGAACCACACCTTAATAGTCAAGTTGATTAACTGGAATCACCCTTCAGTAGTTCAGTTGATCTGACTTAGGTCCTTCATTCGTACGTCCAAAATCCTTATGTCCTTCCCTACTGTACGTTTCAGGAGTCATTTAATACCAATTTTTCAAAAATGGTACAATATCGGCAGTTGTATAGCAAAATACTAGTAACATAGCTAAATCCAGAATGGTAAAAGTAGCAACGGTAAAAAAAATGTGTCAGCCGACTTTTAGAGGTTGAACTTATAAAACATAGTATTCCTACCGATTTTATTCATACAAAAAATCCTGTAAGAAATTTAAAAAATTATCCAGTGTCAAGACGATGTCGTTTTGAGATAAATTTAGCACAAAAAAATATCGCCCAAATCCCTCCTCTCTAATACCAACCCTAATCAACACTTACTCCATCATTTCTCTTTCCCTTTATAGCGGCACACAACTCTCCCATAGTTGGTATAAAACGTAACGTTTGCACTTTGCATTTGTGTTTAGAAAGACTTAATTTTAAGATTAATCGGTGAAGTTGTAAATTATACTCAATGTGCCTTTTGTGCCTTGCTTTCTATTGTCCAATTAGTTAGTATTTGACTTGTTGTTATCCTCTGAAGTATGACATTTTCCCAGTATGACAGCATATTTTTCAATACTATATTTTAACAAAAAAAAAATGGGCTAATACCACTACAACACCCGAACTATCCGAAAAATGCCACTTGTGTCCTATTGTTTCCAATATTCCATCTGTGTCCTGAACTATATGAGGTTGTGACATTTGTGTCATGGCGTCTTACGTTGACCGTTAAAGATAACTGTTGACTTGACGGAAGTCAAACTAGTGTTGACTTTCGCAGATGTGGCAAAAAGTAGCATCCACGTAGATGCCACCTCATTGACACGTCATTACTTAATTAAAAATAAAATTATTTAAATAAAATTATAATAACTATGATACAAAAAATCCAAAATTCTTAGAAATAAAAAAAAAATAATGGCTCCCCCCTCCCCAATCTCCCTGTCTCTGCTTCTTCCTCTTCCCCGCCGTATCAATCTTCCTCTTCTCCCATTCTCTGTTTCTTCCTCTTCCTCTCCAATCCCAGCCAGCAATCACCAAATCCTAAGTATTCTACTCGAGAATGAGGGGCGCTCATGGCCACGAGAAGCTCTAGCTTCGAATCCGAACTACAATGGCAACCCAAACGACAGTGAAGCTCTCCTCGATCGGATTCGGCGACATCAGCTTCTCCCGTTCGATGACGGTTGTCAGCGGCGGGTGTGTGGAAAGACGCCGACTCCAATTAGGGTTTCAGATCCAAGTGTGCCTATAATGGCTGCGGTCTTTGATTGAAAAATGAAAACCTAGTGGAGCTTCTACCTTCAATCTCTATCTCTCTCGCTCACGGTCTGGTAGTTTCAATCCCCCTGCCTTTCATCTCTAAAATTACTACGGGATACCAGAAGCGTTCGATTCAATCGAATTCTTATCGGAAACAGATGTCGAGAAGGGCGATTCAATGGAGGAATTGAATCCAGTGAGAAGCCATGGGATCGGCGGTCGGGCAGGCAGTAAGAGGTCTGTGCCAGCTCGGCTTTGGATCGGGTGGCGAGATGGTGGATTGGATTGGCGTCGCCAATGGATAGCTGCGGCGCGGGATCGAGAGAATTGGTGCTGGGGATTTGGAGGAGGAAGAAGACGAAGGGGTGGGGAGGAAGGAAGTGAGTGATAGGGTTCCACCAGAAGGTGGGAGGAGATGCGGAGATGGCGACCTGGATCGATTGATGGCGAGGAAGGAAGGGGTGGGGAGGAAGGAAGAAGACGAAGGGATTTTTGGGTTCGAAAAGTAGAGTGGAGGAGATGGCGATCTGGGTGTTGATAGGGTTCCACCAGAAGGTGGGAGGAGATGCGGAGAAGGGATTGAGAGGCTTTTTATTTTATTTTATATTTTAATTAGGTTAGGGGAAGAAGAGGTAGGATTTTTATTTTATTTTATATTTTAATTATTTCCTTTTTCTTATTTTATTAATATTAGATGGAAAAAATCAATATTAAAAATTCCACGTCAGCTGCCACATCAGTGCTGACTAGATTTTCTGTTAAAAACTAACGGTCAACAAAAGTCAACACTAACGGAATCATAGTTCAGGACAGAGATGGAATATTGGAAACAATAGGACACAAGTGGCATTTTCGCGATAGTTCGGGTGTTGTAGTGGTATTAGCCCAAAAATAATTATTTTTATCTAAAAAATGGCATTTTAACAAATAACAATACGAAATGTTGAGCCACGATCACAAAAAATGCTCTATCATAGAATAATCTAATATGACATCCGGTAGGACTTTTCAATCCTAGTTTGATACTCATTTTCATTAGCGTTATCAATCAATTCACCTCTAATTTGATTAATTTTTCATTGCAAGTCTGACTCGCTCTAAACTACTCTTTCAATTACTAGCCAAGTATAACCAATAAAACGGTGCAGTATAGCGGAAGTAAAGTAATAAATATCAACCTGGACAGCTAAGTCTACTATTACTTCGTGAACTTATCTATTATCTAGCCAACATATTGTGATATCGTTTAACAGAAGCTAATGAAACAAAACCAATTAAATTGGTTCAAATTCAAGTACGAGAGAAACACTTCCTCGTTAAGCCAATGTTGTTTACTTTCCTAAATTGATTGACACAATACTTTTATTGCCTAGAGTCCTCGAGTAATTTGGAATCTCGACTAAAGCAGACCAAGTCCTCCTAACATAGACTACCTGGAGGGAGACTATCCTCAACCGAAATAGACTACCAAGGCAATACTGAAAGACTCCCGCAAGTGGATCGAATTCCATCACAACGCAGTGAATTGACTCACTCTTGTGTTATAGATTCACCATGTACAATTGAAGGTGCTCTATTGACCTAATCATATATTCTCTATTCAAGGTCTAACACAATTGAAAAAGTGTGATAAAGACTCATGCAATTCCCGAATATACCTCAATTAGATAAATAGCAAATAGTTCAACAATCATATGGTAAAATCATCAGTCATCCTAACATACATAACTAGGGTTCCTCACACCCAAGTGAGAGGGAGATTACTCCGTAGAGATGAGCAAAAACACAAGAAAATCCAAAGAAATCATCGTTTCTAGGTCGGATATATGCTTGTCCTTGTCGTTCGTCACTTCTCGGTGCTTGGGTTGAGTGCCAAATTTCCAATGGTGGTTGGATGGCTCTAGGAATATCCAAGGATGGGTTCTTTATCACTTCTCTCTAAGATCTGCTTTGCTCCGTTTTCATTCTAAATATTCATCTCCTTTGCAATTGCCCATCGAAATCAACTTATCCTATGTTTTTCCCGACTCACGGTTCAAACTCACGGACGTGACACAAAGTCAGGCCGTGATATTGCCCCAGAACGTGGCGTGATGTCGAGCTAGGGTATCCGAGGTCACAGGCTTATTGCTAATGTCACGATCATTGCTGTGACTTATAAATGGCCGAGAACGACATAAAAATTTGCACGGGAACCTTTGCAGATAGTCATAGGCTCAATGATGTATGTCACGAGCATGGTCATGACTTGGGGAGCTAGGTCGTGGCCGTGACATACAACAAGAAGACCGTGACATTCCACCAAGGTCCACGGCCGTGACTTGTGCATCTAGGTCGAGACTTCTGCTGCCTTTGTCCCAAATTTACCTCCAAATGTCCCAACTGTTGTTCCTAATTCATAATCACGTACTAGGATATGAAATATCACAAAAGAAGCACAACCACAAAGAATGATCCTAACCAAGTTAAATGGTCAAGAAAAAAGGCTAGATATATGTATAATTATGTCTGTATCAAATTTCATCGAATAATCTTTTCTCGCATCCACCTGAGTATTTAGAAATTTACCCTTTTTAATCTATTTGGTAATTACCATTTGGTATCCACAATCTTGGTCTTACAGTGGTGCTGTTTCTCAAAACCTAGAGTTTCAATACCCAATATTTCCTAACTCAACCCATAGGCAGATTTGACTTTCTAATTTTGACAACTCGGTCCAACCAATCAATTCCAATTTGGTACCCAATATTGCCCAACTTACTATTTGATACCCAAATTTTCTCTCATTACAAAGCAGCCACCAATGCTGGAAAAGATCCAATTGGCTTTTACAATTCATCAAATGACCCAATTTAGAAAAGAATGCCATTGAACTCCCATTCCATAGAATTTGCACTTCATAGATCGATTCCTTTCTACTGAAATCCATTCTATCCGCTCCAAATTCTCACCCTTTACAAGGCCGTAATCAAAGTGATGACCATATTACAAGGCCGTAATCAAAGTGAAAGTCTAAACCAGATTTGAAGAAACCCTGAGTTAGGATGCGAATTATACATCTTTCCAATATATACACCGATCGAAGTGAAAGTCACATCAGGCAACTACGGAAGTACAAGGGAGACAAAACCGCGCAAAAATCTACAAATTGGCCACTTCCATGGAATCAATCTCCAGTTGCTTCACTAAGAACCGGTATCCACGCGATCTGCAAACATCAAACAGAAATCAATTACCAAGGAACCTGATCTATTGCCCTCATTAGTTTAGAGTAAAGAGTTAACAAATAGACAACCTGGAATTTCAGAATGCTGAGGGTCCAACTGAAGAGTATCCAGCAGCTCTCATCTCTTTCAGAGTACTAGATAACCAGTCCAGGCCCTCGTATAACCCATCTCCCTTTAGCGCACACGTCCCTTGTATGTGCCATTTTCTGTTTTTGAGTTCGAATAGGCCCAACCCTTGGCCTACTTCCGCTGGAGTCATTGCACCTTTCTGAAAACCACCCAACATGTTGGTCGAGCATGACAGGTGTATAACAATTCTATCATTTGATTATGAACATGTACATCACAGCTACTGACATAAACGTACCATATCCTGTTTGTTGGCAAACACCAAGATGACACTGTTAAGCATAAACGGATCTTTGATTATGGCCTGCAACACATTAGGGAGATTAGATCAATGAATGACTCTTCTTGATTCTTATAATGTAGCAAATTTATTAAACTTTGATTGCATGGGATGTGCAAACCTGAAACTCTGCCTTGGCTTTGACAATCCTCTCTCTGTCCAAGGAATCAACCACATATATCTGCATCAAGGGCACGTATTACGCACTGATCCACAACTACAAACAAAGAATACTCACTCAACTCCTGAGATAAGTGGAACTTTGCCTACACTCACAACAAAGCATACAAAAACACTAGCACCGAACAAAAAGAGCCACCAACAACAGAGAATTATGAAAGCTGTATGTCTATTTCTGACTCGTACCAGTATTTCTATTTCTATTTCTATTTGGAGCAAATAGTTATTTCACAGCAACAAGGATTTTGGTATGCACATGAATTATAAATACTGTTTAAAGGGTAAATAGGAAAACAATGCGTAGTTGCAGATATGGAGGGCACATAGTTCACAGTATAATGAATTTTCAGCAGTAAAATTTAATAAGAAAAGTTAGACACGTGGTCTTACCAAGCCATCAGTATTATTGAAATAATGCCTCCAAAGTGGTCGTAATTTTTCCTGGCCTCCAACATCCCAAACAGTGAACACCACATTCTTATATTGTACTTTCTCCACGTTGAAACCTACAACAGATATCCAGAACTAAAATTTCCGAACCAACAAATAGACTATCAAATGAGGAAAATGTCCAATATATTGACCATGAAGAATGTGATAACATTCCTGCTTGTTTGTGGTGCTTCCAACAACAGGCAAATCGACCACTTACCTATTGTCGGGACCGTAGATAGAACTTCTCCAATGTGTAGCTTGTAAAGTATAGTTGTTTTACCAGCTGCATCCAGTCCCAGCATCACAACCTAGGCCAGCAATAAGAATAAGAATCAATCAAGAACTGGAATAACCAACGTCATATCCGAGTTCCTGAAAAAGCAAACAAAGAACCACATATATATGATAACACAGAAAAAAATATTTTCTCACATGTATCAAACTTCAATGCACATTGCACCCTATTTGAAGACAAAAATGCACATAATTTGTTGAACTGGTGTAATTTTTATCATTCAATTATTACCCTGTTTTGTTACATATGCACCCACACCACCCTTCCCGAAACAAGCACAGAAAAAAGGTCGTTAAGTTCTCAACTATGCACTTGCGCCTGTAAGTTAGCTTCTGTACCAACTACCAAGTTTCTATGACTTGATTACCTGGTCACATTCAAAGAGTTATTTGCACCAGTATTCACTCATATACAGACAACTACAAGTAATGAACCACATCACATACTTAACATATCAAGGACAGAATGCTGGAAAAAAGAATCAGCAACAGCACACAAAAGAAATCTCTAACTCTTCTTGACAAATAGGGACTTAAACTTGATGCTGTCCCAGGCATTTGATGTCAACCCATCATCCATTAAATATGGCATAATTAGAGTACAATGAGATTTGAAGAAGAATCCTTCATGCAGAGGATTGCCAAATATCATTCTACAGATAAAGGCGTATATAACTTGAGAAGCTTGCTTGCATCAAGTACGCAAGCATCTATGTCTAACATAACAGTGCCACTTCTTGGTGAAAGAACATTAAAAGATCTATTATCCCCTAGCATTAGGCAAGTTGATGGTCCTGTGACGAATACCAGTAAAAAATTAATAACACAAAACCTTTTGGCTCCCTGGGAGATATAGCTAAAGACCTGCCAAGTCCGAAACAGAACACTAACTACAGAGCTAAAACTATGCATGAACTATGAGGCCTGTCAAGTGTCAACTGAACAATCCTTTGGAATGCTGAGCAATCCAAATCCCACCCTTCTCTCATTATTCACAACAAGTCACCAGTTAAGAACTTCTTCATTGCGCAGAAGTAAAGCCTAGAGTAAAGATCTGATACGAAATTTATTACAATCCTCAGATGCACACAAACCCATCTCTCTTCTCGAATGAATTTGCACACAGAACAAGCGGCTACACTAGATTGAGGATAACAAGCTAAAAGTTAAGATTAAGACTAACTCCAGCGGATTAATGTGACTTACGAACAATGAAATCACTAAACCGATTGAAAGAGCTAAAGAAGAACAAATCGATCAAAATCTCATCATCAACAGACAAAACCTAGCTATGGAACGAGCTGGCAGAAGAGCGAAAGCTGGCTGTACAATAGAGAGATGAATATCAGTGATCAAGGTCGGGCAGAAGAGGAAAGAGCGCGAGGAAGAAGTACCCGCATCTCGGTGTTGCCGAAGAAAGAATCAAAGAGCTTCCGAAAGGCTTGACCCATTGGTACACCACCTCCCTCTCCTCCGCTGATCGCTGATTTTGATGCAGCTCACGATCTTCCCTCTCCTGCTATTTAGGAGATTGCGCAGACGAGAAGGGAGAAATGTGCAATCGATTCCTTTAGGGGGTCGCGGACGGAAGGATTAAAATTAAAAAAAAAAAAACTTCTCTTGGTTTTGTAGCTTTAAGAAATTTTCCGGGAAAATTAAGAGAAGAGAGAAAACGAGCCAAGCAGCCAGCCGGCCAACGATGACACCCATTGAGTAGTACTGTAGTAGTAGTAAACGGCGTGCGACTTTTTTTTTCCGCTGATAGAGAATCTGCTTCGCGTATTATTCTGAGCTCAGCTTAATTTTGACGCCGTGTAAGTTCGATTCGCAGGCAGCTATTTGAGTGTTTGGCAAAGGATGGGTATCAATTCAAGGTTGTCAAACCGGTTTATACCGTTGTGCCGGTTTGAAAAGTGGAATGGTACGATCGGTGGTATAATCAGTTTGTGCCGGTTCATGCCGGTTTAAAAAAATGTGAAAACAATTAATATCCAATGTATTTAATCATATATAAAACATATTTGTGGACAATTTAGTTACAATCCAACAAATATCATCAACTTTTAACTATTACATTCATAAAATGGATAATAAAATAATTTTTTTATTCATTAAATTCATTAAAATGATGTCATTTTACTTAGAATGCGTAAGTCGATCATACCGGTCATACCAGTGGTGTCATGCCGGTTTCATGACCGGCACAGATTGAACCAGGTTCAACCAGGTGGCATGCCACCGGCACGACAACTACTATCAATGCATAATCTTTTAGTCAATAACCCCTCAATCACATCAGCACCACATTACTATATATGGAAGAACTCTAACCATTTCCTTATAAATTTTAACAGATTATATCTCTTTCGTTTTAACTTATAATTTACAAATTTTTGCATTTATAAATCACATAAATTGTGCTCTTCAACAAAATGATATCCACTTTGATATATTTTTAGTACCAATCAATACCATGGTGCTACTGCTTGGTAAGATCATACCACGTGGTACGAAAGTGTATCATAGTGGTATGAACGTAACATAGTGTATGATGGTTGAAATACATGATAATAGAAATATACGAACTGTCATTTACCACATTCATCATTGTGTACCACTAGTTATCACCCCTATACCAAGGTGGTACAGAGTGATACTTTATAGTCATGTATTTTTCCCCATAAATCTGTAGATCCAATAAATCAAATAGATTTTGTTCCATCTGTGTAATTTTTTTTTAAAATTCGAGTGAAAAAGGAAGGTGGAAACGTGTGGTATGAAATTTTTTAGTTAAATACACTTGTATATCCAAAACTTTCACGATTGTGCAATAATATCCAAATTTCCCGAAATATCACTTATATCCAATTCCTTCACATTCTTTAACGGTGGTTTTGAATATACAAGTGTATTTAACCAAAAATATATTGGGAAATGGATAGATTTGGCAAAGAACAACTTTAAAATATGGATATAAGTGGTATTTCGGGAAATTTGGATATTATTGGCATAACCGTGAAAGTTTTGGATATACAAGTGTATTAAACCAAATTTTTTTGTCAAAATATATTGAAAATGTATTGTGAGCAAGTCAACCGGACACAGAGGTCCGGAGTATCAACTGATTAAAGAGGTGTGTTGGTTCGAGGGTTAGTTATTAACTCACTTTAATGTATTTAATTAATTATGTGTCTTAATTTTTTTTAGATCGATAAGGGTGATCTAGCTTTGTTTTTAATTATAATGAGCTAGTAGAGTGCTTACCATAATGAGCTAGTAGAGGAATTCAAACCTATAACCTTCAGATTCAATACTAGTAGTAATAGCACTACATCATTTTATTATTAGTTGTTATGCTTACCAGTGACAAAGCCCAAAATCTTAGCGAGGGGAGGCTAAAAATCTTTGTTCAGTGAAGTCGAACTGGCGAGGAGGGATTAAAGCATTACCAACTACTATATGTCTCAAATTTATTACCAGATTACATGTTATATGATTTGCGAGTAGAGGGTGGGCTATAGCCTCCCCTAGGCTTAAGGTGGCTCCGCCGGTGATGCATACTTTACATTATACGATCATGAGCTTCACGCCATGTATGATTTATTTGGTTTAAGCTTATGCCAAGTCAGGTTAATTTTTAGTTCTCAAGTATGCATATCAGGGTCAAGGTTCATGAATAACATATTTTTTAAGCAAGTCGAGTTACATTTTAAGCAAGTACGATTTTATAAGTTAAAGCATGTCATGAACTTGGATCTCCCACGGTGCGGATGATACTCATGTCACGCAAGTAGAAGTCACGTCATGTTAAACAATATCACATTCTAAAACTCAAGTTAGCAGAGAACATTCCATGTCAATCTCTTGAAGTAGTTCGAGGATTGAGTACCCAAATCAGGCCATTCATCGTCTTTCTCGACTATGTAGTGATTAAGATGGAGATAGAGACCCCATACTCCTTAATTTCTTACGTTCTTGTTCAATGGAAGACTAATAAAGTTTTTTTTTCTAAGTAATAATTGGGTTTATTTAACTCGCTATTCCCACTAAATACTTAAGTTAATAATTCACAAGATTATTTGAAAGAATATTGGTACTTGGTTGAATGATTATCATCAAGTTTAATTAACTACACTCTTCTAAGATGAGGACACTTTAATTTCATGTAATTGGGACTATACCAGAGATCTTTAACATTTAGGTAGTATCCTCTCGACCTGCATCATGAATTAGAGGGAGCATATGCATAATCTATATTTAAATTCACATGCATCCTCAAAACAATATAAAGAGGTTCTCTTTTAGAATCCACATAAATAACTTTTTCTTGCTCTCTGGGTGAAGCAAGGAAGGAGTTTTTAGACATTTTATTTTAGCCTAATAATAACTTTAATTGTAAGCCCAAATCAAATCCACAAAAGACACCATATACAATTACTACGTACCCAACAAATGAGAAACTTATTATTTGGTTGGATAGCAAATTGATTCTTGACTAAACCCAAAAGCTAAAATGGCTTTATATGTTGTGCTTATCAAAATGATTCACAAAACAAATAAACAAAATGAATTAGACATAATTGACCCAAGATGACATCCCACTAAAATCATAAGGAGAATTTTTGTCATGTATAGCCGATAGTAAATATGCCCAATACAACCCATTAATTTGACATTTATTTTCGATCTAATTGTTATCAAGTCTATGTTGGTCTATAGGATTGCTTATTTTGTCATCCTTATATATACAAGACTTCAAAAATGAGATGAATAACTTTTAATCTAAGAGAAAGATAGAGTTTTTTTCCAATTCTAACACTATTTAAAAAATAAATTACAAAACTAGCACCCAAATAAAAAAATTTACAATTGTAGCACCTTTTCTAACGGAACGCACCCCTAAGGTGCGTTTTATTAACGAACCGCACCATTCAGGTGCGTTTCATGTGTAAACCGCACCTTAGAGGTGCTTTCCGTGCCACGTCATCACGCGAATCGCACCTTAGGGGTGCAGTGTGCTTTCTCTGCCGCACGGTCTTTCAAACCGTTGGATTGAGGGGCGATCGGACGGCGGACCGCACGCCAAATCAGCGATCCGTGCCACGGATCGCGGAGCGCATCAGGAAGGAGCGGTCAGCTCCTCGGGAGTCTCGGAACGCATCACGAAGGAGCGGTCAGCTCCTCGGGAATCTCGGACCGCATCGAGATGGAGCGGTTTCCGCTGGGGGCAAATTTACCAGACCGCCCCTGAAGGGTGCGGTCTGATGGGTATAAATACTCCCCCTTCCCCTATCATTTCTTCACACCACAACCCATTCTTCCTTCTCTCTCTAGATTTTATCTTTCTAAACCCTCCCCTCCCAAAAGCCTAGGAAATAGAAGTCTGTTGGTTGCGGCTAAGTCCGATCTGCAATTAGAAAATATTTCTTAGGTTTTTTCCTCAAAAACCCGCCGAGCCGAGCCGACCCTCTATCCGAATTTCCCAAAAAAAAATGGCCGATTGGTGGCAAGGAGAGGGAGTTTATGTCGATGAATTTCAAGCGGTACGTACTCATTATTCTGCTTTAATTTTTGTTGTTGTTATAAGCTTTTTAATTAATCTATGTACTAACCTCGTTTTTATTTTCTCGTAGGTTGGGGAGGACGTGGATATATACAACCAACGGTATTATCTCGAGCAAGGACCGTTGGATCCAACCGACTTGGCCCTTCGTAAACCCAGTGAGTGGGCCCCATATTGGGACCTCTGGCGGCTCCATGTCGCTGTCAACCATCCAATTGTCGTATGGAATGTGATTGTAGTAGGGGACTGGTACACGGTCAGGAGCCACATCATCATCATTATCTGAATCTGACTCTGGTCCTGAATCATCAGCACCTTCAAGAGGGTCGGAGCTGTCTGCACTGACGTTGTTCTCTCCTTCTTCATCGGAGGGGTCGCTGACTGGTGCTGGCATGGTAGCTTCCATCTGATCCAGCTCATGAAAGGCACCTTCATCAGCTCCATAATGGTAGTTGTGAAAACTACCGCTGCCTGATTGGAAGTTGTACTGGGGTTGGTTGGGGAGGTCCGGTTGAACTTCTTCTTCATATGACGGGAAAGATTGATGATGGCCTTCACCTTGCTCTTGGTACTGAAAATAGGAATGAGGATCATGGTAACTTTGGTAGGGATGATCGCCATATAATTCACCTCCACCATGGATACCAGATGTTTGACCGTGTCTAGAATGACCTCCAACGCCAACGGATGGCTCGGTGTAAACGAACATCTCGGCTTTGGCCAATTTGTTGGACCTCAAGAATTCGAGCATGGAATCTACTTCATCTTGAGTGGTTATGGTATATTCCTCATGCCACAATGACCCACTTTCTCTGTTTGGATATCGGTACACCATACGATCTACTCTTCTCGTGCCATCCATGCAAGTACCGTTAGTGCATATTTGATGGAGGTCTTCAAGCTTCGGTCTGGTAACGACCTTTATTTTCTGAAAATTGCCACCGACGTAGGTGGCCCCCTTTCCGGTTTCTTCCGTGTAACTATTCCACCGTAAGCCAAGCGTGAACTGGCGGAATGCCATCTGCACACAAAAAAACCGTAGTTCAGTTAATATCATAAAAATCACAAATCACAAATAACAATAAAAAGTAACACAAAATAAACTTACGAGTTAATGTTAATGGCAAAAACACTAAAGAAATATAGAGATACAACAGAAAATTGAAAAGAGAGAAGGAGAGGTGTGAAGAGTAGAGGTTTTCCGGGCAATCTTATATAGGCAAAAAAATGAGGAAAACCGCACCTCTACGTCCATAATTCTGCATGGGTGATTGTCGGGTGTCGGAAAATAATTGACACACAGACCGCACTGGGGGGATGCGGTCTGTGTGGCTAAATCGCACCTTAAATAGGCGGTTTGGTTTTGGATGAACAAATCACATCTCTAAGGTGCGGTTTGTCTAGGTCAGGCAAAAACCGCACCTCGGCCATGCGGTTTGTGTAGGGCAGACGTGAAGCCGCATGGCCAAGATGCGGTTTAGGCCCAGGAAAATGGACCGCACCCTACAGGTGCGGTCCAAAAAAAAGGGTGCTAGTTTTGTAAATATTTTTGGAAGGGTGCTAGTTTTGTAATTTTTTTTAAAGGTGCTATTTCTGGAAAAAACTCAGAAAGATATTAGTAAGTTGCATTAAGCATGCCAAAAAAAATTCAATCAGACTTATTGAAATCTATTAGATTTTTTGAAAAAGTTACTACCAAAGAGATCCAACGAAAGCTTCCCTCTTATATTTCTTTCAATTTGCATTTTAATTCGAGGTATAATATACAATTCGGGTATAGATGATTGATTGTGAAGGTTACTTTGTGGAGAGGATTGACATTTGAATCAATGTAGTTTATTGTGCGCTATAAGTTAGCGGTTTAAGAAAATAAATTTTGATTTCATTGTAATTATTTTTGTGATAAAAGGGATGGAGATGTATCACCTCCTCCAGCAGGAGTCAAAAAACAAACACATCTACCAACGACCACCAAAACATTGCAAGAGCTCATTGAATTAAAAATAAAGGACGGAGAGAAGTTAAATTTAGTTTCAATTTTACGACTAATTAATATTCAAATGCTACCTTTCAATGTAAAATTTATAACAATGTATTTATCCAATGTAAAGTTGTCAAAGTTAGGAATGGGTAGTAATATGCTGGATGCGAAACCTATCCACGAAAAGTCGAAGTAGACTCTGATAGTTACTTTTGTAGGAATTTTACAACAATTTTAAATATAATAATAATAGGTAAGTAACAATCTATCTATACTCTTTCATTTTTGTTAACGTCAAATTCATTCATTCATTCATTCAGAAAAGAAGCATTGTCCCGCTAAAACATGAAATTTTGGACTAATTTAATTGTTGTTATTTTACAGATTCGATATCCATCTGTTAATCGTGGAAAGAAGCCATTGAATTTGAATTTGTGGTTTTGGATCACTAAAGAGCTAGATTTTGTGAAATGCCTGCCGAGAAGCTATTCCAATATAGTGTAGAATTTGAGGACCTCCACCTACTTATCTCCTACAAAATAAGTAAACAGAGTTGAAGTTTGACAACAAACTCACTAATTAAAACATCACGAACCTCATTAGTGAATATACAGTTTTAAAGATAATGAGGAATGACAAAAAGAAAATCAAGACTCTGACAATGTAAATTTTACTTCCATAAAAAATGACGTTTTAATATTTAAGGACATTTACCATTACATTTTTTTTATTTCAATGGATTGCAAGAGAAGAAGAAAGAGTTTACTGATAGTAGACGTAGTGGATCTTCGATAGAGTTAGTGACGTTGTTTAGAAGAAGGAAGAGAATGTTAATGGTGTGGATAGAAGTTTCTTTGTCGGTAGAAAGAGTAAATCTCTGACAATGTTCATGAGTTGGACATGATGTTTCAATTTTGTATATATTTTACCATTAAACTTTTTACTTTCAATGAATATGCAAGAGAAAAAAGAAGAGACTATTGATAATGGAGATAAATATTTCTTTAAGAGAAATGAATCTATTGTTATTGGTGAAATGGTGATTTTGCTTATGGCGGAGCAATCACAAAGAATGACTCAAAGGTGCAGTAATTTCTAATGAAGTGTAGTTTGATTACCTTAGTTTGGCTCGAAAACTTTCTATTTTGACTCGTGGTTTTCAAAATTACTATCTTGGCCTGAACTATGTAGCATACTTCCTAACTTGGCCCGGAGCCGGATTTGACCGTCAAAATGAATGGTCAAAATGACCAACTCACCTGTCACGTGTTCTATTGACTCTTAAGGCAGCTGTTGTCGGCGACGTTGTGAAGGGATTCACCTTTGGTCTAGTAGTGGCAACGATTGAATTGTAATCTGATGGTGGCGTTTCAGAATGCTATCTGATGGTGCTCTCTACAAGGATTGGATGCAATCTCATTCATGGGGGACACTAAACTCGTTATTGATAAGGTTCGTAGGGAACTATTATAAACGCAAGGGGAGGAGTTATCATGCAGGAGATTGTAGATTGGAGACAGAAGTATAGAGATTTACTGAGCCAGTTCATAGGTAGGCAAAACAACAGGGTAGCTCATTTGTTAATTAGAAAGACACCCCGTTCTTTGTTTTATACAAGTGTGTTGGGTTTTGATTTCTTCTCTTAGGCAAGGACAATGATGTAAACTTTATATCTATCTTCTTGGTAATGCAAGTGAGCTTTTGGTAAAAAGAGAATCATTGTTTATCACCAGTTACCAGTGGTATGGAGTGGTATATTTTGGTCATGAATTTCCCCTCCAGAAATTTATAGATTCAACAGAGCACGATGAACTCATTCTTTCTGTGCATAATTTTTCTAAATTCGAGCTAAAAATGAATGTTGTACCAGGTGATACAAAGTTGATAACAAGTGGTATGAATTTTTTTCTCTCAATATATATTGAAAATGGAATCTCATTTAATAAATTACAAGAAACTCGTTCCATCTAAGAAAATTATTTTGATTTGCAAGTAATAACGAAGAAGCTAAAAACGGATTAAAAATACTAGGGATAAAAAAAAGTTTTTAAATCTAATCCCTTAGCTCAAAACTAGGACTGTCAGTCGGTTGGTTTCGGTTTAACCGAAAACCAATTTCTCGGTTATCGGTTATACCGAAAGACACTGACAACCACCGATCGCCCATAATGCCACGGTTAGCTGCCGACCGACCGACTGGTTGTCGGTTAAACCCTCGGTTAACCTAATACCCGAAATTAGGGGGGAAAAACTAAAAACCCAGTGTCCAACTTCCCATCTCTTCTCATCTTCTCATCCCTCCCACACCAATCCGGCCGCCGCTACCAAGAAGGAGGAGAAGGAGGAAGGACGGCGACGGCGACAACTCTTATCTCCTCCGATCTATTATCCCCCAACTCGCTACAATCCTCCCGCCGCACCCACTAATCCCTAGATTCAGAATCGATCTAGAGATCTGGCTGCATGGCTGCATCTCCAGACCAGATCGAAGAGATCTGGCTTCTTCCCTCCAACAATCGCCGCCGAAATAGTCTGGGGAAGACATGGGCACCTGAGTTTTTGTTCTTGGGGGTGCGGCAAGGAAAAGAAGAGGAAGGGGGTGACCGACGGAGCAGATGAGCAGCAGAGTGGATATCCGGAGCAGCGGGGTCGAGCGGAGTGGCGGAGAATCGAAGGTCGAAGAGGGATCGAGAGTTGGTCGTTTGATTTTGGGAATGGAGGAGGATGAATAAGATAGGGTTGGAGAGACGGTGTCGTTTTTTGTGGGAGAACGGGGTCGTTTGGTGAAGGGGGTGGCTGGCCGATTATTTTCGGTTAGCCGAGTAACCGAGTCTCGGTTACACGGTTAGCTGAAAATAGCATAGACACTACCGACACCCGACCGCAGTCATTAACTATCGGTTTCCGGTTAGCTGTTAACCGATCGGTTACCGGTTAAACCCGTCGGATAATCGCAAACTAGAAACCGATCTGCCACCCCTACTCAAAACTTAAAGCATAGATCTTGATTATGCATCCTATGCTAAGCCACCGAGACGCCCTGGGGGAACCCAACTCCTTAAATCCATGAAGCAAACGACCTGCTAACAAACCTCATCTTGGAAGTTGACGACGAATATGATCCTGGGCGGCCGAGAAAGCAAACCTAAATATACTCAACACCATTCATCCAAACGAAAGCAGACATTACCGAACAAGTCGAATCTGTTGGCAGTGTTCACAGTTTCACCAACTCCGTGCGGCAGATATTCTCTGGTTTGGCATCACCGCGAAAGACGCAACAACGACAGCAGAGCTATATTTATAGGCTTTCGTCATAGATTATCGAGCTCATATCATGTATAACAGATATCTCTCTAAATCCTGAACTAGCTAGAAATGGCATTTTCGTGCTCACGGATGGTACTGCTGTGGTTATCAGTGATGGCACTTTCGCTTCTCCTAACTGTTGTCGTGGCCGACGATCCGTCCGCCATATACTGCAGCGACGACAAGTACTTCAAGGGCGACCACGAACTGAAGGCGAGCATTAAGGCCGTGCTCGGCCAGTTGCTCGAGCAAACTACGGCTTCAGGCGACTCCGACATAGAGACCAAACTCCAACATCCTGCTGACAAACCTCGGGTTTACGGTGCTGCTTTCTGCGAGAAGTCTCCACCGGAGTCCTGCAAGCACTGTCTCAGGGCGGCTAAGAAAGAGCTTCTTCACGGATGTGACCACACCGCTGGTGCTGAGTTCTACTCCGAGCTTTGTTACTTGAGATTTGAGATCTATAACTTCCTTTCCTGATCAACACCGCCTAATCAGTTTTCTGCACGACGAAACAAGGGATTAGATCGCTGGTTCTTTTTTTACCCGTACGTGGTTCTTAATTAAGTAGCTAATAACTGTACTGTCGAGGCAATCAGATTCTCTATGAATGTATTTGTGTTTTGTTTTTGTTTCCGTGAGCTCTGAATTCGACTTCGCTTTTTTACTTTCAGTTCACCAAATTTTGGTTTACGCTTCACCAAAACCAAAACTATATATTCCCAAAACACCGGTACTGCCAGCTGTGTTTGATTTCATGGTCAACGTACGAAAATAATACGTACTAAACAACTTTTTTTTTTTTTGACAAAACATACTAAACAACGTTGAAAGACATGAACAATCGTAAAATATTTGATTTATAAACGTTCTCCATCTTAAAAATGACAACAAGTCTCTTGTTCCATCAAGTACTGAACTTTACTATCTTAAAGTTGGAATCCTCTTAAGTAGGGTTGGCTATTTGGTCCGGGACTGTTTGGTTTTACCCGAAACTGGACCGTATAATTCGGACCGGGACCGGATAGCAAACAATCCAATCTCATATTCGGGCTTAGATTTAAGGTAAAAAACCGGATAAAGACCGGATAAGAGACCCCCAACACCTAAAATCAAGATCAAATTAGGACCGGACCGGGTCAAGACCGGATTGTATCCAATCCAATCTTTGGTCCTTATATTCCCGAAAAGATCGGACTGGGACCGAATCAATTTGGTCCAATTTAACCGGACCGGACCGTATAGCCACCCCTACTCTTAAGTCACTGATCCTAGTGGTGAATGCCGAATCCCTGTCATGCATACTTTAGTGCTTCTACAAATCCTGAGTGCTGGCGCCCGGGTTAGTTCTAATTCTAATTTCATTATTGGATAGTGAGAAAATGAACCAATCATGCATAACTTGCGAAAATGCTCATGCAGTACTGCCTTAATACATTATTGAGTAGAGTACATTATTAGGTAGAGTAAGTTACATCTTTTATCTTGACATGGAGCCCTACCTCGACTTAGCTACAACGTAGCTATTCGTGACTCGCTCCGACTATCACAATAAAATCTCATCTTAGACCCAAGTATAAATTTTAGATGAGTGCAATATAGGTCAAGTATGTTTAAATATCAACCCGGGCCGGCCCATGTACCCCTACTTAGATTGTTTGAAACCTTATCTAGCTGATTGTTGTTTGTTTAAATCTCTACAATCTACAGTTTAAAAGCAAGACTTTGAAAAGTAAAAGGGTGGAAAACTCTTGGTGAGAAGCTTCACTCGGGTATTGCTTCTCCTTAACTAACTACCATGAACCGTGGGATCGAATGAACCGGTGTGTGACGAGGCAATTGTGACCCGTAGGAGGTGCAACAATGGTTGAAACTATCCTCTCAATTGCTAGGCCAAGGTAAGCATTAGAGGCTACAATTGTAGCCCTCTTGGCACAAGCAATTGAAGATTGACTTACCTTCTTTTTTGATTAACTTGGGAAAAAACAATGTTGCTTTGAAAGTATTTGGTTAGAAATGTGTGATAATATGTTTATATATGAACAATATCATTGTTTTTTTCATGTAGGATGAATTTGACATAGACACAGCAGGTGAAGATGCAAGGAAGATTATGGAGAAGAGAATGAAGAAGTGGTTTATCAATTACAAGTATGCTATGCACGCTCACTACCTGAAAGACCCTGAGACAACCAGGACAGACCCTCCTGTTGACATGAATATAGAGGACTGACATCTGCTGTGTAATCACTTTGAGAGTGAAAAGTTTTGAGTAAGTAACTCCAACTGTTTCATCATCAATTTCCTGTGTTACCTTGCCTTGAAACTAATGGTTGCTTATTAACTATATGATTTGTGTCGTGGTGAACTAGGAGTTTCATGTTTTGTATCATGGTGGACACTTAGAATGTTTGTTTATGTTGAACTAAGAGTTAGACTACTATCGGAATGGATGTAATATTTTGGATGTTTGGAAATATTTCCATGATCAGATTGCAATGCAGGATACAATTTTGAATTATGAAATTTGTGAAGCATGTCAAATGTGACAACAATGGAAAGTTCTTAAATTATGTAAAGTCCCAGACAAATTGTCACGTTGTCATATTAGACATGAGCCAAATAAACCACCTTCCCTAATGAGCTATGCTCGTCATAATATGCAGTTAGGACCAAATATATTCGTCACAATTATCAGTTATGACAAAATGCCTTTGTCCTAATATACTGAAATGACAAAATATATTCATCATACAAAGTAGTTATGACAAAGGATATTCGTCAAAACATGAATTATGACAAAATAAATTTGTCACAATAATGTGATGTAAGAGTACAAAGCCAGTAATATGACAAACTATTCTGTCAAAATAACCAAATGGTTACTAAATTTATGACAAAACATTGACATAAAATTCATGTTTGTTACATTATATACATTGCTTGGCAACCAAAGCTATTGTCATATTATCCATGTGACAAATTAGGCACATTTCCTGACAAAATCTAGTCGTCACAATATATTGTTATGACAAACTATAATTGTCTAATATGATGAACAATACTCCCAAAATTATCAGATTATGACAATGATAATGACAAAATGTGTCGTCATAATATCTCTGTTTGTCACAATAGAGTACTTAGAACCTCATCTATACCCAAAGCAGATGTGCCAAATTTTTTTTAAATTTTTGTCACATTTGACCTATACTGACTGCGATAAAATGACAAACCTTGGTGACAACGAACTTTGTCATATTAAATCAAATATGAAAAAATGGGTATCTAATATGACCAAATTACCCCGTCATAATAGGCCAAATTTGTTGTAGTGTAATGGCAAAATACACTTCCATAGCCATAACTTTGCACTTTGTGACAAATATAGCCAGATTCTGAGAAATACACAAATATAGCCACATTTTATAAACTTGCTTGACTAATATAGCCATTTCCGTTAAATAATTTGACGGCGTCAATAATTCCGTCAGTTAAATGGATGTCATTCTCATGTGGCTGCCATGTCACGGCCACGTCATGTCCACATAGACCCCCCACTGCCCCATAATCGCCACATCACATTTCATAAATACACTTTTGTGGGTCGTATTCTTCTTCCTCTTTACAAATGTTTAATTAAAAAATTTCTTTGTTCTTCGCCTGCTCAACTGTCGCCAGGCGTGGCGTCGCTCCCAGCGCCAACGCTGTTTCCACCTAATGAAACGAAACAGGGGAGATATCATGGGCCGGAAAACAGAGGGAGCGATTCGAATCGATTCGAATACGGGGTTACTCCAAAAAAGAAAGATTAATTACCAGGATGGAAGCGCCGGCGACGTATTTCGCGCCGGGGACATGTTTTGCACGTTGCCCCGCCGTGCAACCTGCCACCGTCACCTAACCAAAACAGGGGAATTGAGATTAGAATCCTAGCTAATTGAAGGAAATAAAGAGAAGATGGCAAATTGGATTAGAGGAAATACCATGAAGAGGTAAGCGAGAAGGATCCAGATGACATTTTGTTGAGTGAAAATGAAATTGCAGAACAAATCTAATAATGGATAGCTGAAGAAACGCCCTGAAGATGGAGAGGGCCATCTCCCATTCCAGGCCGACGAAGGTGAATGTTTCTCAAATCGAGGAGATGGGAACAACAATTTCGCCGCCGCATCGCCTACGTTACTCCACCAACCAACGTTCAACCCTTTCTTGCAGATCTGACATCACCGGCGCCGCCGACTCATCCTCCCTGCCGATGGTGTTGTTGCAAGATTTGTCTCGGCGTTGGAAGAGAGTCTCAGTTCCGCCGTCGCTACCGCCGATGTGGAATCTTCCCAAACCGACAACACCCAGCCACTACCTCGTCGCCGTACCCACCAGTACAGCTGACACCGACGACGTTTTGTCTCCTCCGGCTGCTTCAACTTTCCAGATCTCGCGAATTCAGAGCTCAGAGCTCTTCCCCTTGAATGGCGATTCCCAGAAATCGGAGGAGCAATCCGCTCGTTCTCTCCCTCATAAGAACCCAGTTGATAAATTGGGTCAGCAAAGATGCGGGTTGTTCTTCCCCTTGCTCGATGCTGCCTTCTTCCTCTACTTCTCTGCTTCGACGGCGGCATCGGTGAATTTGGTGACTGAGAATCATCTGGATCTGAAGGTTAGTTTCTGTGGTGGGGCTTGAGGGAGGAGTGCGAGGAGGCGGAGGACGGCTTTGGCGGCGGCGACAAATACGGGGGAGGAGGAGAGGAAGCTTTTGGAGGAGATGAAAGGGGTTTGGGGGAGTTGGAGGAAAGATGAAAAAGGGGCGGAGAGATGAATTTTTTTTCTTTTTCATCTTTTTATTTAGTATAATAAATATAAATAATTTCATTTTCCACCATGGCAGGCCACATAGTCCAAATTAAACGCGGTCAAATATGACGGTTTGTCCAGTCAGCAATCGTTATATTTCCGTTACATTAATGGACGGAATGACAATTTCTGTGTATTTCTCAGAATCTGGCTATATTTGTCACAAAGTGCAAAGTTATGGCTATGAAAGTGAATTTTGCCTAGTGTAATTAGTTCATATATTTAGATAAGTATGTTGTTTATTAGAAGTTCTTAAATTAGTTCATATAATGGGTATTAAGTAATGTGTATTATAATTAAAGCAATTGGTTTATTATGATAAGATGACTCATGATATGTTCTCCTATAGACAATGTCTTAGCTACTAAATGGTAAACTCTTAACTCATGATATGTTCCCAAATCTACTATATCCAGTTAGTCATATGACCTGATAAGACTATAATAAGGTTTACTATAGACAATATCTTAGTCACTAAATGTTAAACTCCTAAGGGTCCATACAATATAATAGACAAACCTTTCATTTTAAATAAAATAATAGCTCATGATATGTTCCCAAATATACTATATCCGGTTAGTCATATGGCCTGATAAGACTATAATAAGGTTTACTATAGACAAGAT